AAATTAGGGCCTCCTTTCCCTTTCTTTGCTATTTTCAGATGCAGCCCACAGGGAGGGGATCTAGAATGGAAGTGGGAAAATAGGCCTTTTTAGCAGGATTGCGTTTGAATGGAAGTAATTGGGAATCACTCCCACTGCTGAAGGTAGAACCTGAACTCTGGATCCAAAAAAGCTGCACATTAAATAAAAAAGCAATGATTTGAGAAGTATTTAAACATGTTATCTAAATGGAAACAGAATAAATAAGACACAGTATTTCTCTAGTATTCTGAGAAAAAATGGTTTGATGAAAATAAACGCTCATTTAAACTTTGATGGTGCAAGAACTCTTAAAAAGTTGGGAGAGGGGGATGTTTATCGCTGTGTTACATCACTTCTTCTTTTAACAACACTCTGCAAGCACTTGGGAACAGAGGAGACCCACTGCTCCAATTTTGAAAGAGTTTTGAAATAATTTTCTCATTGTTGCTTAATAAAGGATTTCAGCTGCAGGCTGGGCCCGTCACCAACACAGGATTTTGAAGACCGATATGACATGCGGTGATTTAGAAATCCAGTAAATGGGCCGATATTTTCTTTTCTTCAGCACCAGAAACATAAACAGATTTGCCTAATTTCTGCTATGTTTAGTTATTTATGAGTTCTTACTAAGATGACATGACAATGCGGTTTAAAAAATAATCATTTTATTATCACTAAAAGCCGTTGGCTATTCTTGCTCTGCTTGGATCGGCTGGTTTTTCCGATTGTGGCAGGGAACTGGCTGTTATTTGCCGTAGGAATTTGCAGACAATAGACAGTCACCTTCACCACAGTTTCCATTGAGATCCTACCAGAATTGGGAGTTTCTGTATTTGGAGCTGTGTAGCTCTGGGGCAAACAGAACTGGTGCAAAAAATCTCACAAGACTGCTAAATTAGAAGTGACCCAGTATATAGTATAAATCCTCTGCCAGTTAAAATCAAAAGAGGGCGACATGCTTTATTGAAAATTGATGTAATACTTTATCAAAGACCTTTTTACTACTGCTGTCTATGAGCCAAATTAGACAACTAAAACACTTTTTTTTTTTTGTCTTTGCATATGTAGCTTTTTGGTGACGAGTCTTAACTCAGATGTATTGTCTCCAGCATAAACTTAGGTTACATAAATGCCTGTCAGTACATCCTTTCTGTCTATTTTCTGTCCAGTCCTGTCATTTTCTACCCGGAGACAACCTGTTCTCAGGCTGTGGCATAGCGGCAGGTCAAATTTGTGTTTATGACAGCATTGTGCGCTCCAGCACTGAACACGGTGGAAAAGAACTGCAAACAATGAACCACAAAACATGACCTTCAGGGAGAGGTAGGCTCTGGACAATCTCCCCCCCCCCTTTCCAAAAAAAGACTCAAATACAGGCACACAAAGTCAGATTTGGTGGGGCCAAAGGGGCGTCTTGTACATGCTGAGCGGCAAATGGTGTTTTGTCAGAAGACTGCTGACAAAGGCAACTGGGCCCTTTTGGTTTGAAACTGGAAGTAACTGAAATACAGCAAAACCAGTGGGACAGTGGCACTGTATGACAGGATTATAACAGGTAATCCATCAGTTAATAGCAGGTTGAAAAGTAGATTATTTTAAACACAGCAAAATATTTGAAACAGTACAAAGAATAATTAGTTCAACATTCTTATAGAGATCTATGTTTAAGTGGTGTTATTGATCTGGGTGTCACATTCATACAGATTAACTCCCCTAATCCAGGCTTTAACATCAGTCCCGTGTTTTTTAAGTGTCTGTTTAATTTGTTATTACACCATACATTTTTTTAAGGTAACTAATAATTATGAATCAGCTGTTATTGTCTTCATCATTAGCATGTATTCAACCTGTCGAGTGACAATTAATGGCACTGACAAAACATTACTATGTATTAGTAGATTATATCTTATTTTTTTGCGATCGCTGCTGTTCAAGCAGACTTGAGTTTAAAACACTAAGTTGAGGAAAACATCAACAACAAAGGGAATAAACAGACCAAGATCAAAAATCTGTCTTAGCTCCGCTGGAAAATCTATGTCACCCAGGCCTGGATCAATAATGAAATCAGATGCAAATTGTATTGTATAACACCTCATCAAAGAGAAACATATACGTCCATAAAAATTGTCAATGGGTTAACCGTTTGTGTTCAGTGGCGCAGAATGAGCCCGAGCTTACCCGGAGTTTAAGAGCCGATTGAGAAAGAGGGAATTGCATTAAAAACAGGCAACGAGAGAGGATGATCAATAAAATATCAATCAATAGGCAGGCAAGAGGGTCGGGGTAGGAAAATTGGATGGCTCGAGCCTTCACAGATAATCGAAGACGCTAAGACAAGGGTCCCCACCCCCATCGTGCAACGTCTTTCTTTCTGTGATTGTCACCCCCTCCTTGCTTGTCTCAGTACCCCTCTTTCACCTCTCTTTCTTCAGTGCACCCCCTCCTGCCAGTCAGTACCCCTCTCAGGCTCCCCTTCAGTCCCTCTTCCCTCGATGTCTCTCCACTATCTCACCTCTTCTCCATTTCTCTCTCACTCCCACCCCCTCCACCTCTTTTCTTTTTCTCCAGTGCTCCCCCTCCTTCCTCCCGCGTCTACTGCAGCAGAAAAGCCAGCACCGAGAAAACCAGCATGTGTGTGTTTGTACATGAGTGTGTGTGTGTGATACTACGGTAAATCCATGAGCTAGCCTCACACGATCGCCTGCAATGAAGGTGAAATTGAGAAAAAGCCCCCGCGTGCGTGTCGAACGCGCCGATCAAAACATTGATTGCTGGCACGTTACATCACAGCCATGCAAACAAACCCCCTTTAAATCATTAGAGTAATGTCTCTCCTCCTGTCTCTCTTTATTTCCTCTCATCTCCCACTTCTTCCCTACGTCTCTCTCTCTCATCTGCCTCGTTGTATTTCCACATCAGCATCTCATTTTCTTTTCTTTATTTTCCCCTGTTTCTCAGCCCTTCTTCATCTCTGTCTCTTCACATGTAATTCGGATCCCTCAGGATTAAAAAGGTTCTGCCACACCGAACAGGACACTTTTAGAAAGAGCAAGGCTGGAATAGAAAAAGGAATGATCTGGGTCACATCGCTGTTTGACGTATGGCACTGGCATATTAGACCTACACAGCAAACTGGGGCTACGTTCGCCCACAAATACAGCCAATGTTTTGCAGGCACCGAAACGAATCCAACTAATCGCACCTTAACACCCATGTAGTATCGCCAACACCACTAACTGCAGCCATTATGCTGAATGAATGTTTTTGTATGATTCATGTGGTCTTTGCCTGTAGATGTAGTGTTTAACTGTACATTGCATAATACAGAGCATAACACACAGCACTCGAGCAACTAGACAGGAGCTACAGTAGCTTGCATCCGAGGTATGGCAACAGCAAAAATGACGCCTCCTTTTGCTTGGACCAAATTTGCATGTAAATCCAAACTATGTCTCCCTCCTGTATACATAACTACCCAGGTGAGTTGTTTCTATGGGATGGAGTGGAGGTAGACGGGGTTGGAGTAGCGAGAAATCAATCTGAGAGCAATTCTTAGAGAAGCACTTCCTGCCTGATCCCAAGTCCAGAGAGGCAGATCAGGTGGCCTAAACCCAGACTATGTGTCAGTCACCATCTGCCACTTTTCTCTTCCTCTGGAGGGAACTGAAGTCAGGTATGCAGATCTATACCTGGCGCCAGAAGAGGAGCAAATGTATGTGTGAGTTTTGAAAACAGGGGGAGTGAAGGTATAGTCTCATCTGTGGATAACTGTAGATGTAGTATGTATTGCTGAGTGTGCAGTGATTTATGATTACATTTTCCCCACTCAGCTATTTTCAGCATGATGGCATGAATGCCTGGCCACTGCAGGTGTCTGCCGACTGTCTGGTTTAGAATGTGGACCTACAGTATTCATACATTCCACAGCACCAGTGGTTTCTCGCCTTCACACCTTCAAAACTGAAAATATCACTAGCAGCAAAAGCAGGGAGCAAGATGAGGATGATCAGAATATAACTCTCGATACACTAAATCAAAGCAGCTGTGATCAAACAGCTGGATATGCCTTTAAGTGAGAGGGGGGAGACCCGAAGCCAAATGTAACTGTTTTCACAAACCCACAGATCAAACCACAGTCGGGGGCACTTGTTACTCTTACACCTGTGTGATCAAATGCCATTAAACAGCTGCTTTTAGCAAGTAAATCATTAACTATTCACATGAAAACAATAAAGGCTATCCCAGCTCAGGAGTAAGTTATGCGTAACAGGAACAAGGACCGTGCGTAAAAGGCATGTAGCTTTCAACTGGAACAAGAAAAAAAATCAGCAGAGTGAAGCACTACCAAGGGCAAATGTGTGAAAAGACATGCAGTACAACACTGACGTTTCGACGTCGTAAAAGCTTGCTTTCGGCGTCGAGCCAGAATAAATACGACCAACATGAAAAACGGCACAGCGACGTGCATCACAAACGGACAAGCATCACCTAATGAAGGCGTTTGGATGCAGGAGGCGCAGCGGATGCTGCGTTCGGAGGCAGATACGCGTTAAACCTGCTGGAGCAGGAGAATGTGACGATGGAAATCATGATACCGAGACAAATGTGGAAATGTGATTGACAGTCTTCACTGTTACTTCGTCTAATACCCATTTACCAACACAGCTGACATATAGTTTCCCATTTTTTGTCTTGCGCTATCAGCATTAATTATTCAATAGCAGTAAGTCTACATACACCAACATTTAACTCGAGCTATACTGTTGGAAATAACACGCCAGCAGTCATAACTCTTCACTTAATTATGAGGGCTTGATTTTTCTGCTTTTGCAGGTAATGTTAACTGGATGACAAAAAAAAGTTTTTTTTTAAACTTATCATGACTCAGGCAGTACTCTGAGATGTCATTAGTCAGAATATGCAACAGTAGCCTATGCAGAAATAAGTTGGTCCCTCTGAAAGAGACGTGGGTAACTCACCCGGGCATATTTGGAGGAATAGGGGTCTTCAAAGAGTGCCCATATTCTGGGTTGCCAGGTTTTCCACCAGCCCGCTTTCCTCGCGTCCTCTTGCATGCACAGTCTTTTCAAGTCCCCATCCGCACCACCCAGCGCCGGGTCGTCGTCTGGCGCGTCCGGTTCTGGAGTCTCGAAGCTATCCAGCGCCTCCTCCGCATCCCGATGCTGCCGGTAATTCATCCAGCAACAAGCCTCCACGTCCGTCTCATCGATGCCCCAGAAGGCCAGCTCCTCTTCGAACAGGGGACCGCACACATCGTTGGGACAGTGCAACTTCCCAGTGCGGTAATAGTTGAGGATGAAAGAAAACACCGACGGGTGGCGGTCGAAGAAGAACTCGTCTAATTTGGGGTCGTAGTCGAAGTTGCTGAACGCGTCCGGCTCGGTGAGCCACGACAAGCGGGTACCGGGCAACGTTTTTAGGGTGCTCCGGTAGGTCTCATGCCGCACCCCCCCGCAGTTTATCACGATTTTCTCGCTTTCCGACGGACAAGTCATGTCTGCGCTGTAACATGCTTTGTTGGACGACTTGTTCCCACCCTTGCGCCCTTTAAAAGAGGATACACACACCGAACTGAGCATAGAGGACCGGGGGGAGGGAGAGGATGAGAGAAACCGAAGGGAGGAGGAGGAGGGAGGAGTCTGAGGAGTCTGCGGGAGAGAAAAAAAGGCAGAAAATTTCAGCAGAAGGGAGAAATAGATGTGGATTATCAACATTGCAATACACATTAAAAATCACACGCTAATGCCAGCTGTATGTGCAATCATTCACTTGATAATCAGCCAGTGGAAGGGAGGAAGACGACCTTGTGCAGGTGCAGAGGGAACAAGGAGAGCAGGGATGGAATTGATGGGTAGCAAAGTTGTTTTGTTTTTTTTAAGCACAGCATACCGGAGCACACAAACATGCCAGAGCAATAAACAGGTGGCTTAGAGCACATTCATGAGTCAGCAACCATATGGGCTGACTGTTGACACCAGTGTGATGAGAAGATCCCAGATCCCAGTCTGGAGTTACTGTACTATGTAGCTTTAGGGTCTCTATACTGATCTGGTTGATGCTCAAGTAAGTGTTCTAACTGAGCCACTCAACTCAGCTTCACCCCTCCTGCACAAATGCAGAAATCCTGTTCCTTTACCAGAGTCATGTGTGAACATAGAGGAGAACTGGGGATCTTTCTTATTATCCCCCCGCCTTTCCTCACGAATGCTGCTCTGACACGGTGGTGTGTGTGTGTGTGTGAGTGTGTGTTAATTGCCTCCCGAGAGTGCGGTGTCCGTACTAATGTTAGATCTCCTCAATCAGCCTATGCGTGTGCTACACACACTGCTGCAGCCCCCTCCGACCGCACTGAGATCCATGCAACGCACAGTTATGCCGATGCTCTCTCTGCTGTTCTCTCTCCCATGTACTCTGTGTGTGTGTGTGTGTGTGTGTGTGTGTGTGTGTGTGTGTGTGTGTGTGTGTG